AAGCTATTTTAGCTACTTTAAGCAGAAAAGAATTTAACTCATTGCTTTGAAGTCATTGGACAGGGTAGATGAATGACCTAGGAAGAAGTCCCAGAACAAAACTGCCAAGCTGACTCACCCTAGCAAATTCCATGTGGCCAGACTCAGAAAGCCACCCGGGCTATCTGCTCCCTCAGAATCAACCATCCAACATAACACGGAAGTCAGAAAACCACTTCCAGAAGCTCCAGGACTGCATTCTGCCCTCTAAAACCATACTCCCCCCACCAAAAAAAAAATTGGTTTTCCCTTGTGGCAATGTGTTAGTTTGAAATTCAAGTATTACTCAAGTAATACTTTATTAGAGAAACCAAAATCCATCTGGAACCCTAGCTGCAAAGGAGTCAAGGAAATACATATTTTTGCTTTCTGGCCTCTTCAGGAAATGAAAGCTTACTAGGAAAGGGTTAAAATAAATGTTAATAGCGTCTTATTATGTATGGTATCTATCACGGGACTAGTAAATGTTTCCCTGATGCAGCTGAGACATACAAAAAAGGGGGAATTAGTTATATGAAAACTTGGAAGTATGCTTTCCATGCAGAGGAGAACCAAAGAGGCTTAGAAGTGAAACAGAAAGTATTAACTACTTTTAAAAGCAGATAAGAAAAATATAGACACCTTCACACCTGCAAAAAATAATATAATAAGTTAAGGGAACTCAGGTTTTTATTTCAAGCATTATTTCAGTAAGAAGCCAGCTTACCCCTCCTCTACACACACAGTGTAGGATTGTCTGTTCAGGCCAGGAGTTGTGGACTATCCCTTGTCCCACTTGTGAGGAAGCAGGATCAAGAAGATTTGTGTGTGGACAGCGCCTGTGGCTCAAAGGAGTAGGTTGTCAACCCCATATGCCGGAGGTGAGAGGTGGCAGGTTCAAACCCAGCCCCGGCCCCCACAAAAAAAAGAAAAGAAAAAAGAAGATGTGTGTGGAATCGAGCATGAAAAATACACCTTAACCCTAACTGCCCAGGTCCGCCCATCCGTTTACCTTAAATACTAGGAAAATCAGAGATAGGAAAGTCCCCAGCAAGATTCAGGTGCCACTCACAGTACAGCATTTGGTTCCAAAGTGAGAAGGGAGGTAAGAGGCGCAGGAGCCCTGTGGACACAGAACAATGTACCCTACTCAGAGAATATTAAACCTGAGAGACAATCCAGTCCAACTTTCTCGTTTTTTAGGTTTGAGAAAGTAGGCAGAGAGGTCCAAATCTTTTTCTTATTCAGGGTGACAAAGTCAGTGGACATCAAGACTAGAAACCCCAATAGCAACCATTTATTTTTACCCTGTGCTTCACAGTGTTTTGTGATCTTTCTACGGCCATCGTCTAAGGCTGAAATGCAAATGTAGCTGATCTACAATTTTTTCAGTTGGTGATCAATTTAATATTTAGCTCCTTCTCAGTCAGATGATATTTGGAACAATTAATTTGGATTCAGAATCAAATTAACCTTTTTATAACTCTGCTGCTTTAACCCAAGGCAGCCCTCCCCTCAAAAATAATGCCAGTTTCATTCTTAATCAGTGAATTACAACCCTAGAGTTTGTTTTTTTTTAATTTTTGCAAGAATGGTGAAAAGGAAGCCAGCGTATTAGAAAAGAAGTCACAAAAATGTAACTTAAATGAAAAATTTCTTTAAAGACTCACCAGAGACAAAGTAGTTTGTTTATTAGTTCCAGTAGTGGACAGAGTTTTAAAAAACCCAGAATATATACAAACATACCATCGATTTGTCAGATTGAATCTTGAACCCAAAGAGCTTGGTTGATTTTTTTGCATTCCGTATTTGCTAAAATTGACAAGAATTAAAACTATAGCTCTATAAGAGCTTAACTATATTTGAGTTAAGCACTAAGAAATCTAAACTCTGTTGCCTGAGAATTTACAGGCATTGTGCTCTCACATGGAGGTATAAACAGTATTGAATGGTATTAAGTGGGGTCATAGTTCCAGGAGTTTTTAATTGGATTATTCAACCAGAAAAATATATATTTATATTTCTAGAACCTCAATGTTGTATAGACTTTTTAAAGGCTCTAAATATATTATTTCTGTTAGTCTTCCAAACCAAATCACAGTAAGTTATATTATCCTCAGAAAAAATCAGACTCAGAAATTTCACTTTGCAAATTATACCAATAAAATTGTCACTGAAAGGAGAAGCTATGAAAATCTGGAATTGTATATACATGTCCTAACCCAGAGGCACCACGTACTTCATTTCCTGCTATTAGTAAGATGCAGAATATTTTGTTTTATAAAATGGTAAATAAAAATTAAAGATAATAGTAATAATAAAAATCACTTTTATCTCAAGCTTTTCCAAGGCAAACAGAAAGTAAATTCTCCTATGATCCTGGAAGAAGAGATTAAAGTGATTTCTGACTTTGTCAGGAGTTGGAATCTGCACCTCTGTATCACTCACTGACCACAAGGAACACATTTCTTAAGAAAATGTTTGCATGTCCCCACTGGGTCAGCTCAGAGAGTTGGAGCCATGGTGTGGCGTAACCAAACAAGCAAAAGAAAAGATTCTTTTCCCTTAGTTGAGAGAAGTTGGGAATTAGAAGCGCAAGCTGTGTTGGCTTCTATCCTGTAGCTTTTAGAATATTCTTTGTGGAAGGAAAGTAAAGAGAACTTCCTGCTATAAGAATAATGATGCCCTAAGGAAAAAACATCTGTTCTCTGGTGGAGAGAGCCTCGTGTTTTAAGGAAACCAGCTGTTAATCTGCTCTGAGTTAAGGTGGTCATGTTCCCACCTCCACACTTCCCCAGCCAGAGTGACTGCTCCTTCTCTGATGTGAGAGCCTGGTATAAACAACTAAGGCCTTTCTCTAAACATTTTAAATCCTCTCCTATTTCAGCCTACGCACTAGCCTGTGGAACTGACTTAACGGAATGCATATTTTCTTGTCATTGTTGATCTTGAGAAAAGATTCTTAGTGAGAATCTTAATAAAGGGATTTGTTCTGTTGAGTTTGGGTTTAGTCGATCCCCTGGGGGATCTGGAGGGCACATGTGACCTTGATGCCTCGGCTTTGGCTTTCTCCTCCTTGGTAGAGAATGAAGAGGGTGATGTCCATTGAAAGTTTCAACAAGTCTGGTATGTGTGAGTGAAATCTGAAGGCCAGGATCCAAAGGAGAATGTGCAAGTGTCCCCAGGTTTGGAGCAAACCTGCAATTCCACGAGATTTTGTTATTTTGACTGTTTTACTTCACAAAAAGATGGAGGGAAGCAAAGCAAAATAGTGATATCTCAGATATGCATAGGAAACTTAAACCTGGCTCAGATTTCTTCACTTTTCTTCCTTCTGCTCCAAACCAAGTAAAAGCCTCTTTTAGATGGTTTAGTCTCAGCAGGGTCTGGCTAAAACAGTTAACAAAGTGCTGACAAGGCATATGGTTACAGGCTGGAGGGTGGGGACTCTTGCAAATTCCCCGCCACAGGGCCCAGCAAGAGAGCCAAGAAGAAACCCAGGGGTCCTGCTTCGTGGAGGAGTCCGGGCTCCTTGGCTCTGCCTGGTCGTTCATGGAAATTGGGGATCTGGATGGCCTGATTCTTCAAGGGAAAATGGAAATCCTTTTTTGTTGTTAAAGTCTTAGGAACAGTATAACACAATTTTTTAAAAATAGTACCAAATAAAACATTGTGACGCACTTGCTGGGCCTGTCAGTTTCCCAGCTCATTAATGGCCTTCATAGGCAGCTTTGGGATCTTAAAAACGGAAATTAACTGACTCAAATGAAGCGAAGGAAATGATACTTTATTCCCTTCCATTCATTTAATAAATATTTTTAAACTGTGTCCATCAGTATAGTTACAATGAATACAAAAGAGTGTGAGATATAGCCTGCTGCTGGTAGGTAGATCCCGGTGTAGTTTAACATGCCATTAAGTTACAGCGACCTGGAGGTAATTAAATGGACATTGTCAGGGTAGACAGACCTCCACGGGACACTTAACCCTTCTTTGGATGGGAGCCATGTCTTAAAGGAACCTGCTGGTTAGAGTGGATGCTTTACAGCTTCGATCCCCAACCTTTTTGGCATCAGGAACCGGTTTCGTGGAAGACAATTTTTCCATGGATGGGATGGGATGGGGGATAGGGGGCAGGAGGGATGGGACAGGAGGCAGAGCTCAGGCAGTGATGTGTCTGGCCAGGTTCCTGCAGGCCACAGACTGGTACCTGTCCTGCTCAGGGTTTGGGGACTGCAGCTTTACAGGAAAAGCAAGGGATACAAAGGAACACTGTTGAAACTGCAAGATTTACTACAGTTGAATGATTGTAAAGTCAAAACCAAGGATGTGACTGAAGAAGCACATCCCCTTCTCCCAAACAAAACCAGCTTCCTAAGGCCCATCTGGGCCTACTGAACCAGGATCCACAAGTGAGGGTTCTGTGGTAGTGAAGTGAGCGGGGGAAAAAGCCCTACAAGTGTGAGAGCAGGTAGCCTGCCTGGATTGGAGGCCTTTCTTTCTGAACTAGCTGGGTTATGATGGACAAGAAACCAACCCCTCTGTGCTCAAGTTCTTGTACCTATAAAATGAGTGAGAGCACCCACTTCGTACGGTTATAGTCCATGGCACTAGGATGATTCCAAAATAATTAATTGCCCAATAAATAACTTTGGAATGAATGAAACTGAGGCGGTGTGACAGAGCCAGATCTCTCCAATTCTTAGTGCTGCTCGCTGTTCTAGATACCGTCTCGGGGGCAGGGAGGGGAGTCTACCTCACCTACCTGGAATCAGACCAGTTGCCCTCATGTAGCTCAGCTTATTAAACAAAAGGGTGGGATGGTGGGAGAAGTGCTACTGTCTAACTGATTTAGTGTATTACATTAAAAAGAAAAAAATAAACACAACATGCTATTTTCGTATAGCAAGGCAAGAAAAATGTATGATTTGCTACTGCTTTAATTAACAGCTTTATTTCACTTTCTTTTCCCCTTACCTAAGGCTGCTGTGGTACCATCTGCCCAGACCCTTAAAATTACTGACTTCTGCTTCAGCGACTTTGAGCTATCTGATCTGGAAACAGCGCTGTGCACAATTCGGATGTTTACCGACCTCCGCCTCGTGCAGAACTTCCAGATGAAACATGAGGTAGGAATGCAGTTACTTCCTTAGGAAAAGAGAGAGAGGGAGAGAGGGAGGGAGCATCAGTGTTTAATGCCAGTGTGCAGTGTGGAATAGAGATTTTTACATTTCAGGGATTAATCTGTCATCCAATGCTTTCCTCATCAACTATTAACAAGACATTTATTGGGTTCCTACCATGAATCAAGCACCAGGCTGAAGACTAAGGAAGGAATGTTCCTAAAAGCAAGAGCAGGATGTGCAGAGGCAGGGCGGCAGGAGAGACTGGGGCTGGGAAGCCGGGAGCGCTGGTGAGGGGTGAGTGTGGGGTGAGAGGGACCAGGCGAGGAAGGTCAGCGCAAATCACACACAACCTTTACACCAGTCAGCGGAATTTGGATTTTATCCCGAAAACAGTGGTGAGTCACTGCAGAATTTTATGCGGGGAAGTAGCATGATCTGATTGCAGAAGCCAGGATGACAGTGTCCAGGGAGGGACCAGAGCAGAGGAGATGCTTTTGAAAATGAGGGTGGGAATAAAGGGGCTTGATATGAGGCCAACCTCTCAGCTGGATGGGGGTCACCCAGATGGGGTGAAGATGAAAACTGATTTTAACCCCTGTTGGTTACCCTGTTCATCTTAGAAAATAACAAAACTTGAATCAGTATCTCCTAATATCAACGTGGATATATCAGGGAATTCCGTTTTGTTTATAATGGCTGTATAAAATATATAGCTTCACAGATAGGGGAAGGACAGAAAGGACTATATTTAAAAATTCAGTAATCACGCCCTTAAAGTTACTTTTTCAGGTCAGTTGAATGTCTCCTTGTACAGAATTCCTATCTGGAAATGTAAATATCTTCACTATTTAGCCCTTCTTTAATTCATACAATGAAAACTGCAACAGCATGGTAGAGAAGAATGGTCATGGGTTTTGAGTTGTTGCGAAGCTCTGGTAGGGACCCACTCACAGTCCCCTGGGCAATTACTCTCATGCTCGGTTTGCTCATCTGTTAATTAGGGGTAATAGTGTTGCTCCCCCCTGTAGGCGTCCTGTGAAAATTACACATGCATCTATGCAATCATCTGTGTGTATGGATGTAAATACTATTCTGTTAAACACAGAAATATCGAGTGCACGTCAGTTACCTCATTCTTAGGACAGATTTGACCATGGTTATATCACACATCACATTTCTTTATTGTAATAGGGCTCATTTGCTATTTTTTTTCTTCTTTTTAGAGACGGAGTCTTACTCTGTTGCCTAAGCTGAGTGCAGTGGCCCTATCATAGCTCCCTGTAATCTCAAATTCCTGGGACCAAGCAATCCTCCTGTCCCAGCCTTCCAGTTAGCTGGGACTGCTGGTGTGCCCCACTGCACCTGGCTTGCTTTCTTTTTTTTTTTTTTTTTTAGATGAGACCCTCTTAACCATAATAGAAAGATGGACAACTATGAATCACCTTTTTTTTTTTGGTAGAGATGTTATCTTGCTGTGTTGCCCAGGTTGGTCTCAAACTTCTGGACTCAAGTGATCCTCCTACCTCAGCCTCCCAAACTGCCAGGGCTCATTTTTAAAAGCTCTTTCCATTCATGGTGTGAATAGAAGATCTCATTTAGAGCCAGAAGTTCTAAATGTGATTCTCAGTTCTGCCTTATGCTGCTTACAGGACCCTATAAACCCAGGTTGCTTCTCAGCTCTCTTGCGATTGTTGAGAGATCCCGTGCTAGAAACCAGTAATGATTCTGTTCAAAGGGCTTGGCCAGAGCAGAGGAATGTTGTACCTTTTAATGAAATGCTTTTAAGTTGGCTTATTTCTTATTTAGCTTTTACGTATTATACCATTTGAGGGTTCAGCAATGAAGATAGTCATTTAGAGTTTCTCTAGCAGCCTTTTCTTGGATTTTTATCTATTAGGAAAATATTTCTTCTCAATGTCTGATTCACCATCC